GTTCAAGCAATTCCCCTGGCCTCAGCCTCCCGAGTAGCTGGGATTACAGGCGCATAACCAAGCCCAGCTAATTTTTTTCATTTTTAGTAGAGATGGGGTTTCACCATGTTGACCAGGCTGGTCTTGAACTCCTGACATCAAGTGATCTGCCCACCTCAGCCATGTAGCTCAGCGGTGTGAGCCACCGCGCCCGGCCAGGACCTTATCTTAAAAAAAAAAAAGAAAAAAGAAAAGAAAAGAAAAGAAAAAAACAGAGCTTTTTTAATCCCCTCCACCAATGAGAAAACCATTTCAGCTCAGCCCATGGAGGCTGAAACAATGGCCAACCTCTGTGGTGGCCCCCTTAGCAAACTGTAACGTATATCAAAACACACAAGCCTGATTTTTGGAGGACAAGGTTCTTGTAGCCCACCCTCACATCGCCAAGCACATCAGGGATACAGACTGCCATCTCTACAACTGGATGCTGCTGGGAAGTATTCACCAAAATTCACCAGCCTCTTTCTTCATCAAGTACTCCCTTCAATGCTGCAAATGCTCCACTAGAATCTAGAGCTCCAAATAGTTGGTTCTGACAGTTCTTGCCAGCTCAATAGTGGTTTCAGTGAAGGGATCAAGGATCAATTCTACTCTGCCATCTTCCATGACATCACTCTTCCCCCACCCCACCATATTAGTCTTTATCCCATTGGAAACAGATGGCACCCTCAAGATAGGATAATTTGAGGAGAATGTATTTAAGAAGGATTCTTTACAAAAGTGTGGATGTAGGGGAGCCACAAGAGAGAATACAGTAACCTAGGACTAATAGCAGCCAAGCTGATACTATCCCTAAGCCCAAAAGGTTGAGGAGAGGGATCAGGACCGGAAAGGAAGGAAAGAGTTGTGCTGAGGTGGCCACCTTGAAAGGAGCAGTGAAATTTGGTTGAAGAACAAGGCCAGCCTGAGGCGACCTCAAAAGATGAAGGAAGTCCAAGATTAAAGAGCCTGATACTACTCTTTTGCCTCCTCCTCCTACTACTACTACTACTACTTCTGTTCCCCCTCCTCCTGCTGGGGCTCCTTATTGGCCAACCAAACACCAAGGCGTAAGGGAGTCCAGTTGATAGAAGGGTGAAAAAGGATGAAGAGTGGATGTGGAGGACTAACTGGAGAATGGCCAGACAGCCACTCCAACCCCAAAATTACCTCTAGCCTCTATTTTCAAGACTGAATGCAGCAAATTTCTGGCTATTTAAGAACAGCCACTTTCCAAACACAACTGGAGGATTCTTCCCTGGAGAGAAGACCTCCCAATATCGACATTCGACATCTGACACATCATCTATGCAACTTACGGTCAACCTAGTGCTTCTCAAAACGTAATGTGCACTTGAATTGCCTGGTGATGTTGTTAAAATGCAGATTCTAAATCTGTAGGTACAGTGAAGAATACAGGAGAATCTAGGGTTCTCCATTTCCAATGAGCTCCCAGATGATGTCAATGCTCTGTTGTAAAGGCTAGAGTGCAGTGTCATGATCCTAGCTTACTGCAGCCTAAAACTCCTGGGCTCAAGCAATCCTCCCTGCTCATCCTCCCAAAGTACTGGGATTACAGGCATGAGCCACCATGCTCAGCTCTATGAATTTCTATTTTGAATCAGTGCTCAGTACAACAAATTAAGAAAGTGGTACAATAAAGCAAATCATTATAAAATTTCTAACCAACAAGTTAAAGACAGAATCCTAAGGCTTCCACAGATGGGGGAGATGTAACAGACAAAGGATCAGAAATATGAATAGGAATTATACTTTTTTAATAGCAACCCTAGAAGGTGTAAGAAAATGTAGTATACCTTCAAAATAAAAAGAGAAAATTATTTTCAAACTTGAATATCTAGCCCAACAACACATCAAATGTTAAATAGAAGTAAGATATTTTCAAATATGCAAAGATTCTAACAACATATCTCCCCCATCTCCCTTTCTTAGGAAGTTACTAGAGGAGACGCTTTAGCAAAACAAGGAAGTAAAACAAGAGGAAGACGTGGGATCCAGGAAATGGGCAAAATCACCCCAAAACAGCAATGAAGGAAGATTCCAGAATGACAACTATACAGCAAGTCTAGTGAGCAGCCAGTCCAGACTGAAACAAGAGGAAGGCAGGCTCTGGGACAAAAACTCCAAAGAAAAAGTGGAACTTATATACTGAGTATATCGAAAACATTATTGCTAGACTTTTCGATACAGTCTTAGAGGATTTGAGGTGAAAATCCAACTGTAAATACTGTTTATAGAAAATCAGACAAATGAGAGAAAAAAGGCAATAATTAACCCTAAGAAAAATGAAGGGCCATGTAAACTAGAAGTCATGATTGTAGTGTGTTTCTTAGCTCATCACTAAACAATATTTGCATACATAATAATTTTAATACAGCTGGGCACAGATTATTGGTTTAACCAAAAGTTGTTACACAGCTATATGGTGGGAAGCAGAAGTAATACAGTCAAGTCCTTCTCTACCGTGTCAGGAAGTCAACACATAATGCTAAAAATTAACAAACCAAGAAATAATGGTACAAACATTTACTTAGAAATACAAAGGTAGGCCAGGCGCGGTGACTCATGCTTGTAATCCCAGCACTTTGGGAGGCTGAGGCAGGCAGATTGCTTGAGTTCAGGAGTTCGAGGCCAGCCTAAACAACATGGTGAAACCCTGTCTCTACTAAAAATTCAAAAATTAGCTGGGCATATTGGTGGCCACCTGTAGTCCCAGCTAGTTGTGGTCTGAGGCCAGAGGATTGCTTGGGCCCGGAGAAATCGGGGCTGCAGTGAGCGAAGAGC